CACCTGAGATCAATGAGGCAGAGAGTGGTTACATGTAACACCTGTGGGCGAAGGAGTGGTGGTTGGTGCGTGAGGCATGACAATGAGACACTCCTAGTAGCTTCTGGGGAAAACCCGAATTCACATGTGAATGAGAGGGATCTTGAGGCTATGCAGGTATGGGACTGCATAGTTGAATGAAGGTTGTTGTCGGTGCGTGAGGCATGACAATGAGACACTCCTAGTAGCTTTTAGGGAAAACCCGAATTCACATCCGAATGAGAGGAATCTTGAGGCTATGCAGGCTTATAAGGATTAACTGATAATACCTATACCAACAAGGTGCATCTTCTTTTCGGTAGCCCGTTCATAAGAACTCCATAGTTAAGCGTGCTTGACTTGTAGAAATTTAGGGATAGGGTGACCTTTTAGGAAGTTTCTCGGAAAGTGTGTGAGTAAGGTAAATACATGCTGAAAAGACTCGTGTTCGTTTGTAGGGCTAGTCGGTAATCCTGAAAGCAATATGGAGGTTACAAATGGTATCAGAGCCAAACCTCTCCCAGTACGATATGGTTCAGGGGACGAACCAAGCGAAAGCTGGTGAGCATGTAACACCCGAGGTCAATGAGGGAAGAGAGTGGTTACATGTAACACCCGTGGGCGAAGGAGTGGTTGTCGGTGCGTGAGGCATGACATTGAGACACTCCTAGTAGCTTCTGTGGAAAACCCGAATTCACATCCAAATGAGAGGGATCTTGAGGCTATGCAGGTATTGGACTGCATAGTTGAATGAAGGCTTATAAGGATTAATTGATACTACCTATACCAACAAGATGCATCTTCTTTTCTGTAGCCCGTTCATAAGAAATCCATAGTTAAGCGTGCTTGACTTGGAGAAATTTAGGGATGGGTGACCTTCTGGGAAGTTTCCCAGAAAGCGTGTGACTGAGGAAAAAACATGCTGAAAAGACTCGTGTTCGTTTGTAGGGCTAGTTGGTAGTCCTGAAAGCAATATGGGGCGTTACAAATGGTATCAGAGCCAGACCTCTCCTAGTACGATGTGGTTCGGGGACGAACCAAGCAAAAGCTGGTGGACATGTAACACCCGAGGTCAATGAGAGCAGAGAGTGGTTACATGTAACATCCGTGGGCGAAGGAGTGGTTGTCGGTGCGTGAGGCATGACAATGAGACACTCTTAGTAGCTTCTGTGGAAAACCCGAATTCACATCCGAATGAGAGGGATCTTGAGGCTATGCAGGTATGGGACTGCATAGTTGAATGAAGGCTTATAAGGATTAATTGATACTACCTATACCAACAAGATGCATCTTCGTTTCGGTAGCCCGTTCATAAGAATTCCATAGTTAAGCATGCTGCACATGGAGAAATTTAGGGATGGGTGACCGTTTGGGAAGTTTACCGGAAAGCGTGTGAGTGAGGAAAATACATGCTGAAAAGACTCGTGTTCAGTTTCCCGGAAAGCGTGTGAGTGAGGAAAATACATGCTGAAAACATTCGTGTTCGTTTGTAGGGCTAGTCGGTAATCCTGAAAGCAATATGGGGCGTTACAAATGGTATCAGAGCCAGACCTCTCCCAGTACGATGTGGTTCGGGGACGAACCAAGGGAAAATTGGTGGACATGTAACACTCGAGGTCAATGAGGGCAGAGAGTGGTTACATGTAACAACTATGGGCGAAGGAGTGGTTGTCGGTGCGTGAGGCATGACAATGAGACACTCCTAGTAGCTTCTGTGGAAAACCCGAATTCACATCCGAGTGAGAGGTATCTTGAGGCTATGCACGTATGGGACTGGATTGTTGAATTAAGGCTTATAAGGATTAATTGATACTACCTATACCAACAAGATGCATCTTCTTTTCGGTAGCCCGTTCATAAGAACTCCATAGTTAAGCGTGCTTGACTTGGAGAAATTCAGGGATGGGTGACATTCTGGGAAGTTTCCCAGAAAGCGTATGAGTGAGGAAAATACATGTTGAAAATACTCGTGTTCGTTTCTAGGGCTAGTCGGTAATCCTGAAAGCAATATGGGGCGTTACAAATGGTATCAGAGCCATACCTCTCCCAGTACGATGTGGTTCTGGGATGAACCAAGTGAAAGTTGGTGGACATGTAACTCTCGAGGTCAATGAGGGCAGAGAGTGGTTACATGTAACACCCGTGGGCGAAGGAGTGGTTGTCGGTGCGTGAGGCATGACAATGAGACACTCCTAGTAGCTTCTGTGGAAATCCCGAATTCACATCCGAATGAGAGGGATCTTGAGGCACTGCATGTATGGGACTGGATTGTTTAAATAAGACTCGTGTTCGTTTGTAGGGCTAGTCGATAATCCTTAAAGCAATACGGGGCGTTACAAATGGTATCAGAGCCAGACCTCTCCTAGTACGATGTGGTTTGGGGACGAACCAAGCGAAAGCTGGTGGACATGTAACACCCGAGGTCAATGAGTGCAGAGAGTGGTTACATGTAACACCCGTGGGCGAAGGATTAGTTCTCGGTGCGTGAGGCTTGACAATGAGACACTCCTAGTAACTTCTGTGGAAAACCCGAATTCACATCCGAATGAGAGGGATCTTGAGGCTATGCAGGTATGGGACTGCATAGTTGAATGAAGGCTTATAAGGATTAATCGATACTACCTATACCAACAAGATGCATCTTCTTTTCGGTAGCCCGTTCATAAGAACTCCATAGTTAAGCGTGCTGGACTTGGAGAAATTTAGGGATGGGTGACCTTCTGGAAAGTTTCCTAGAATGCGTGTGTGTGAGGAAAATACATGCTGAATAGAGTCGTGTCCAGTTTCTTAGAAAGCGTGTGAGTGAGGAAAATGTATGCTGAAAAGACTCGTGTTTATTTGTAGGGCTAGTCGGTAATCCTGAAAGCAATATGGGGCGTTACAAATGGTATCAGTCGTTTGTAGGGCTAGTCGGTAATCCTGAAAGCAATATGGGGCGTTACAAATGGTATCAGAGCCAGACCTCTCCCAGTACAATGTGGTTCGGGGACGAACCAAGTGAAAGTTGGTGGACATGTAACACTCGAGGTCAATGAGGGCAGAGAGTGGTTATATGTAACACCCGTGGGCGAAGGATCTCTTAGTTGTTGAGAGGGTTGCCCAAAAGCAGTATATAAGGCATACCCAGTAAAACTTACAATTAAACCGAATATAGAGATGGCAATTAGGGTTGTTGTTTCCATGATTCTATAATATCAAGACTACAATGGATCTATAGGGTAAGATCCTTTATCTACAGTGGAATGGTATACAAAGTCAACATATCTCAATAAAAAAATAGGATTTATGGCTACACAAACCGTTGAGGGTAGTTCTAGATCTGGTCCAAGACGAACTGTTGTAGGAGATTTATTGAAACCATTGAATTCAGAATATGGTAAACTAGCTCCGGGGTGGGGAACTACCCCTTGGATGGGGGTTGCATGGCCCTATTTGCGGTATTTCTCTCTATTATTTTAGAGATTTATAATTCGTCCCTTTTACTGGACCAAATTTCCATGAATTAGAGAATTCGATTCACAAGAACCAACTAACTAGCTTTTCAATAGAAAAGTCAAGTTTAGCATTTAGATCGTTCATTTTGAGACCATTCCATTTTGATTTGGTAGTTGGACCGCGAAACTTCTTTGTTTCTCTATTTCCGGAATATGAGTGTGTGACTTGTTATAATGGATCCTATTGATAGTACAAAACATAAAATGGATACGTCATCTTATCTTGATAGATGGCTTTACCCCGTCAGATATTTATTCTAGTATCTGGAGCACGGAATATAGAAAATAAATAGATTCTAAAGTGTTAGAACTATGATTCATACTTAATATTTATATTTAGACCTCGCAACCGGACGAAAAAAATGAAAGAGTTAGAAGAATTCATTTAGAAAAAGAAATGGAATTTTATTCGGCCGCCGCTTATCCATTTCTTTGTATTTTTTTTTTCATTATATCTATTTATTGAAATTGAATAAGTGATGATTTAGCAGTTCTTACTCAGGGAATTCTTGGACTTCTTTTTTTGGAAATCATCGTGGTTCTGGTATGAATCTCAGGTTTTCCATTGATTCTATAGGGTCTTAACAAGAAAATTCTTATAAAAAAAAAACAAAAGTCAAATCTTATTACATACACAATACAAAAAAATGAAGTAAATAATAGAATATTCAAGAGGTCTGTAAGGATCAAGAGAAAAAACGAGTGAGCCGACTTGAAATTTTGGCATTATAAACACTAAGAATATCTTGTAGATTTCTATTTTTTGGATCTTCAAAAAAGACTGGAATCATAGGGTTGCCCAAAAGCAGTATATAAGGCATAGAAATAGGCTGCTGACGTAAGTAAAGCTAATGCAACAGTAGTATTTATATCATTTGTGGGTGCAACTAACTCTCCATGAGGTAACTTTATAATTTTCCAAGGTAAAAGTGCCCCTGACCAATTCGAAACAAAAATAAATAGAAACAGAGTTCTAATAAACGGAACCCATGGACCATATTCTTCTCCAATCTGAGTTTTGCTCACGTCTCGAATGAATTCAAGGACATATTCAAAGAAATTCTGACCAAACGTGGGAATAGTTTGTGGATTTCTAACAACTAGAATGGTTGAAATTAATAAGATAGCAATTACAACCCAAGAGATAATAAGTACTTGAGCATGCACTTGAAAATCCCCTATCTGCCAATAGAAATGTTGACCTACTTCCACAGCAGATATATCATAGAATCTGTTTAATGTGTTGATGTAACATAATAGAACATTCATATTGCCCTCTAAAATAAAAAAAGATAACTTGAAAGGGAATTATTTTGATTCAACCATTTCCTTATTTTACTTGGATTTTTGATTTGGAATACCTACTAATCCAAAAATATTTCTTTTTACACAATTTTGTAATGCTATAATAACCAATTCCAAAAATTTATCACCGCCCAACCAAATCTAAAAATGGATTTATCTTATTATTAATCAATAATTTTGTATCTAGCTAGAACGACCCTCACAAATTGCAAAAACTAATTTGTTAAGAATGAATCTGATGGAAGCCATAGTATCATCATTAGCCGGAATCGGCAAATCCACAAGATCGGGGTCACAATTTGTATTGATTACACAAATCGTTGGAATTCCCAAAGTGATACATTCTTGAAGAGCCTTATATTCTTCTTCCTGATCAAGGATTATTACAATATCAGGTAACCCTGTCATATATTTTATACTGCCTAGATATGTTTCCAAATGAGATAATTGCCTCTTCAACATAGCGGCATCTCTTTTTGGAAGAGAGTTCAGTTTCCCCGTCTTTTGCTCCGTTCTCAAGTCCCTGAACTTACGAAGTCTCGTTTCTGTAGTATACCAATTTGTTAACATACCTCCGAGCCATTTTTTATTAACATAATGACATCGAGCTCTTATTGCAGCCCGTCTTACTGAATAGGCAACTTTTCTTTTGGTACCAACAATTAAAAATTGTTTTCCTTTGCTTGCTGCATCAAAAGCCAAATCATAAGCTTCTGATAAAAAACGAGCAGTTTTAGTAAGATTTCTAATATGATTACCTTTACGTTTTTCCGATATAAAAGGTGCCATTCGAGGATTCCATTTCCTAGTCTCATGGCCAAAATGAACCCCAGCTTTCAACATCTCTTCCAAAGTTATGTTCCAATATCTTTTTGTCATTTATCCCCACACTTTGTTTAAAAAAATGAAGAAGAAAAAAAGAGAGACTGAGTATCCTAATAAATAATTGTTCCGATGGAACCTTCTCTTTTATAGACGATCGACCATTAATATAGAATCATGCCATTCTTTGATTTCTATTTCTTATTATTTTTTAATATACTTTAATTACCAAATCCAATGACTGCATTTAAATATTTCAGGGGATGGATGAGTCGAATCCGCTGTTAGGAAGCATTTAATACTATATTTAATCCTATATTTTGAATGTATCACATAAATTCTCTGAAATGAGAATAATTAAATAATTTTCTGTGATGGAACAAAAGATTTCTAATTTCGACTTCGAATAATTTTTTTTCCGGCTAATCTTGTTATGTTGCCTTGACCGTGAACGGTGCATTATTCTTTTGAATCCGGTACCAACGGGTATCATTCCCCCTAAAACAACATTCTCTTTAAGACCTTTCAACCAATCAATACGACCCCGAAGAGCGGCTTTTGCTAAAACTCTAGCAGTTTCTTGAAAACTCGCTTCAGATATGAAACTTTGAGTATTCAGAGATGTTTTTGTTACTCCCAATAATAAAGCTCGGTAACAAATGGCTTCTTCCAAGGCACGCCCCGTTCGTTCTGCTCGCAATAATCCAATTAGTTCGCCAGGTAAAAATACATTAGACATTCCATCTTCTGAAACCAAGACTTTGGATGTTATTTGACGCACAATAATCTCGATATGTCTATTATCGATGTGTACTCCATGGGATCGATAAACCTTTTGGATTTTATTAACCAAAGAAATACGACTTTGAGCTATAGTTAGCTTCGCACCAATCAAGAATCCCCAAGGAATGCCGAGAATTTTTGTTATACACTCGTTCCAAGCATCAATTCTTTTTTTTAGATTCATGGATATTGAAGCAATCAAACGTATTTCGAATATCTGTTCCACTTTTGGAAGACCTTGTGTTATATCACTGGATCTCGATTTTTCATGTAGGAATGTAACTAAAATATCTCCTTGAGAAAGGATCTCCCCATAATGGTCGTGAATGGTTAATTCTGGAGTCGCCAAATAAGGATTAGCCGATCTTATTATTACAGAATCCATTTGAACTGTTATAACTTGAACCGATTTTAATTTTAGGTGTGGTCCATTTTTCATTTGAGCTATACATATATTTTCACAAATAAATTGTCCAAGACTTATTATTGGAAACGTTTTTTCACAAGAAAAATAATGGAGAAAAACCAATTTAAATAGAATGGATTCAAAACGATATTACTGTATAGATCGGGTTTACAAATTTTCTCATTTTCGTCCATGAAATAATATTTCATTACTTGAAAAATTTCCTTTAATTTGTCAAGTTGCAAAATTTTTATTATTGACATCTGATTATGAGTTATTAAATGATAAAGTGAATATAAATTTGCAACTATTCCTAAAGGGCCGAATGAATTATTATTCTTCTTAATTGAAATTATAGGATCTTTTTTTATCCCATTGTGAGATTTTACATTGTTGAATGGTCTCATTTGAAAACAATTAGATGATGACAAAATTATCCAAGATCGGCATTCTTTATTTCTATTCAACAACATACGAATAGTTCTGTGATTTTGGTTAAGTGATTGTTGAATTTTTCCCTTGGAATGAATAGAAAAAATGGATTGATTCGATCCGCTTCTGTGGAAAACCCGAATTCACATCCGAATGAGAGGGATCTTGAGGCTATGCTGGTATGGGACTGCATAATTGAATGAAGGCTGATAAGGATTAATTGATACTACCTATACCAACAAGATGCATCTTCATTTTGGTAGCCTGTTCATAAGAACTCCATACTTAAGCGTGCTTGACTTGGAGAAATTCAGGGATGGGTGACCTTCTGGGAAGTTTCCCGGAAAGCGTGTGAGTGAGGAAAATACATGTTGAAAATACTCGTGTTCGTTTGTAGGGCTAGTCGGTAATCCTGAAAGCAATATGGGGCGTTACAAATGGTATCAGAGCCATACCTCTCCCAGTACGATGTGGTTCGGGGACGAACCAAGTGAAAGTTGGTGGACATGTAACACTCGAGGTCAATGAGGGCAGAGAGTGGTTACATGTAACACCCGTGGGCGAAGGAGTGGTTGTCGGTGCGTGAGGCATGACAATGAGACACTCCTAGTAGCTTCTGTGGAAAACCCGAATTCACATCCGAATGAGAGGGATCTTGAGGCTATGCAGGTATGGGACTGGATTGTTGAAATAAGGCTTATAAGGATTAATTGATACTACCTATACCAACAAGATGCATCTTCTTTTAGGTAGCCCGTTCATAAGAACTCCATAGTTAAGCGTGCTTGACTAGGAGAAATCGAGGGATGGGTGACCTTCTGGGAAGTTTTCTGGAAAGCCTGTGAGTGAGGAAAAAACATGCTGAAAAGACTCGTGTTCGTTTGTAGGGCTAGTCGGTAATCCTTAAAGCAATATGGGGCATTACAAATGGTATCAGAGCCAGACGTCTCCTAGTACGATGTGGTTTGGGAAGAACCAAGCGAAAGCTGGTGGACATGTAACACCCGAGGTCAATGAGGGCAGGGAGTGGTTACATGTAACACCCATGGGCAAAGGATTGGTTGTCGGTGCGTGAGGCATGACAATGAGACACTCCTAGTAGCTTCTGTGGAAAACCCGAATTCACATCCGAATGAGAGGGATCTTGAGGCTATGCAGGTATGGGAAAGCATAGTTGAATGAAGGATTATAAGGAATATTTAATACTACCTATACCAACAAGATGCATCTTCTTGTCGGTAGCCCGTTCATAAGAACTCCATAGTTAAGCGTGCTGGACTTGGAGAAATTTAGGGATGGGTGACCATCTGGGAAGTTTCCCGGAAAGCGTGTGAGTAAGGAAAATACATGCTGAAAAGACACGTGTTCAGTTTCTCGAAAAGCGTGTGAGTGAGGAAAATACATGCTGAAAAGACTCGTGTTCATTTGTAGGGCTAGTCGGTAATCCTGAAAGCAATATGGGGAGTTACAAATGGTATCAGAGTCAGACCTCTCCCAGTACGATGTGGTTCGTGGACCAAAGAAGTGAAAGTTGGTGGACATGTAACACTCGAGGTTAATGAGGGCAGAGAGTGGTTACATGTAACACCCGTTGGCGAAGGAGTGGTTGTCGGTGCGTGAGGCATGACAATGATCATAAGAACTCCATACTTAAGTGTGCTTGACTTGGAGAAATTCAGGGATGGGTGACCTTCTGGGAAGTTTCCCGGAAAGCGTGTGAGTGAGGAAAATACATGTTGGAAATACTCGTGTTCGTTTGTAAGGCTAGTCGGTAATCCTGAAAGCAATATGGGGCGTTACAAATGGTATCAGAGCCAGACCTCTCCTAGTATGATGTGGTTCGGGGATAAACCAAGTGAAAGTTGGTGGACATGTAACACTCGAAGTCAATGAGGGCAGAGAGTTGTTACATGTAACACCCGTGGGCGAAGGAGTGGTTGTCGGTGCGTGAGGCATGACAATGAGACACTCCTAGTAGCTTCTGTGAAAAACCCGAATTCACATCCGAATGAGAGGGATCTTGAGGCTATACAGGTATGGGACTGGATTGTTGAAATAAGGCTTATAAGGATTAATTGATACTACCTATACCAACAAGATGCATCTTCTTTTCGGTAGCCTGTTCATAAGAACTCCATAGTTAAGCGTGCTTCACTAGGAGAAATCGACGGATGGGTGACCTTCTGGAAAGTTTTCCGGAAAGCCTGTGAGTGAGGAAAAAATATGCTGAAAAGACTCGTGTTCGTTTGTAGGGCTAGTCGGTAATCCTTAAAGCAATATGGGGCGTTACAAATGGTATCAGAGCCAAACCTCTCCTAGTACGATGTGGTTCGGGGACAAACCAAGCGAAAGCTGGTGGACATGTAACAACTGAGGTCAATGAGGGCAGAGAGTAATTACATGTAACACCCGTGGGCGAAGGATTGGTTCTCGGTGCGTGAGGCATGACAATGAGACACTCCTAGTAGCTTCTGTGGAACACCCGAATTCACATCCGAATGAGAGGGGTCTTGAGGCTATGCAGGTATGGGACTGCATAGTTGAATGAAGGCTTATAAGGATTAATTGATACTACCTATACCAACAAGATGCATCTTCTTTTTGGTAGCCCGTTCATAAGAACTTCATAGTTAAGGGTGCTGGACTTAGAGAAATTTAGGGATCTTGAGGCTATGCAGGTATGGGACTGCATAGTTGAATGAAGGCTTATAAGGATTAATTGATACTACCTATACCAACAAGATGCATCTTCTTTTTGGTAGCCCGTTCATAAGAACTTCATAGTTAAGGGTGCTGGACTTAGAGAAATTTAGGGATGGGTGACCATCTGGGAAGTTTCCAGGAAAGCGTATGAGTGAGGAAAATACATGCTGAAAAGACTCGTGTTCAGTTTCTCGGAAAGCGTGTGAGTGAGGAAAATACATGCTGAAAAGACTCGTGTTCGTATGAAGGGCTAGTCGGTAATCCTGAAAGCAATATGGGGCGTTACAAATGGTATCAGCGCCAGACCTCTCCTAGTAAGATGTGGTTCGGGGACGAACCAAGCGAAAGCTGGTGGACATGTAATACCCGAGGTCAATAGGGGCAGAGAGTGGTTACATGTAACACTCGTGGGCGAAGGATTGGTTCTCGGTGCGTGAGGCATAACAATGAGACACTCCTAGTAGCTTCTGTGGAAAACCCGAATTCACATCCGAATGAGAGGGATCTTGAGGCTATGCAGGTATGGGATTGCATAGTTGAATGAAGGCTTATAAGGATTAATTGATACTACCTATACCAACAAGATGCATCTTCTTTTCGGTAGCCCGTTCATAAGAATTCCATAGTTAAGCGTGCTGGACTTGGAGAAATTTAGGGATGGGTGACCATCTGGGAAGTTTCCCGGAAAGCGTGTGAGTAAGGAAAATACATGCTGAAAATACTCGTGTTCAGTTTCTCGAAAAGCATGTGAGTGAGGAAAATACATGCTGAAAAGACTCGTGTTCATTTGTAGGGCTAGTCAGTAATCCTGAAAGCAATATGGGGAGTTACAAATGGTATCAGAGCCAGACCTCTCCCAGTACGATGTGGTTCGGGGACGAAACAAGTGAAAGTTGGTGGACATGTAACACTCGAGGTTAATGAGGGCAGAGAGTGGTTACAAGTAACACCCGTGGGCGAAGGAGTGGTTGTCGGTGCGTGAGGCATGACAATGATCATAAGAACTCCATAGTTAAGCGTGCTTGACTTGGAGAAATTCAGGGATGGGTGACCTTCTGGGAAGTTTCCCGGAAAGCGTGTGAGTGAGGAAAATACATGTTGAAAATACTCGTGTTCGTTTGTAAGGCTAGTCGGTAATCTTGAAAGCAATATGGGGGGTTACAAATGGTATCAGAGCCAGACCTCTCCCAGTACGATGTGGTTCGGGGATGAACCAAGTGAAAGTTGGTGGACATGTAACACTCGAGGTCAATGAGGGCAGAGAGTGGTTACATGTAACACCCGTAGGCGAAGGAGTGGTTGTCGGTGCGTGAGGCATGACAATGAGACACTCCTAGTAGCTTCTGTGAAAAACCCGAATTCACATCCGAATGAGAGGGATATTGAGGCTATGCAGGTATGGGACTGGATTGTTGAAATAAGGCTTATAAGGATTAATTGATACTACCTATACCAACAAGATGCATCTTCTTTTCGGTAGCCTGTTCATAAGAACTCCATAGTTAAGCGTGCTTGACTAGGAGAAATCGACGATGGGTGACCTTCTGGGAAGTTTTCCGGAAAGCCTGTGAGTGAGGAAAAAATATGCTGAAAAGACTCGTGTTCGTTTGTAGGGCTAGTCGGTAATCCTTAAAGCAATATGGGGCGTTACAAATGGTATCAGAGCCAGACCTCTCCTAGTACGATGTGGTTCGGGGACGAACCAAGCGAAAGCTGGTGGACATGTAACACCCGAGGTCAAAGAGGGCAGAGACTGGTTACATGTAACACCCGTGGGCGAAGGATTGGTTCTCGGTGGGTGAGGCATGACAATGAGACACTCCTAGTAGCTTCTGTGGAAAACCCGAATTCACATCCGAATGAGATGGATCTTGAGGCTATGCAGGTATGGGACTGCA